AACGGTAGCCTCTATGTGGACAAAATTTTGAGGGCATTTGTAGAACATCTTCCCTCCTACATCAGGGACACAAAGCAGGCACTCAATCTCCTTGCTCATCTTAAAATTCCCCAAAACAGCCAATCTATGTAGTTTGGATGCTGAATCTTTATATTCATCCATTACTCATGATAAAGGTATCCATCAGTCACATACAACAGTCACACTGAAACTTCTGGGGTTTATCGTTTTGCTTGTGCCCCCTCATACACTAAGCTCCCCCTGGGCTGGTGGGAGGGACACATTGAGACAGCAGGCACGCCTCTGGCGGTGTTACATGGCTGTGTGGCAGGGTACCCTAGGGGGATTTCATTTCCTGGATCTGACCATTTCAGTCACTGAGGAGGGTTCCTCCAATGCCCTGCTACAGTGACAGCTCCTGTGATCCCGGCCGGCCATGTGTGAGCGGCCGCACAGAGCCCCATGGGAGCAGGGGGAGCCAGGAGGAGCCAGGCGGCCGGCACAGCTCGCACATTGAGCGGCCGCACAGAGCCCCATGGGAGCAGGGGGAGCCAGGGGGAGCCAGGCGGCCGGCACAGCTCACACATTGAGCGGCCGCACAGAGCCCCATGGGAGCAGGGGGAGCCAGGCGGCCGGCACAGCTCGCACATTGAGCGGCCGCACAGAGCCCCATGGGAGCAGGGGGAGCCAGGCGGCCGGCACAGCTCGCACATTGAGCGGCCGCACAGAGCCCCATGGGAGCCAGGGGGAGCCAGGCAGCCGGCACAGCTCGCACATTGAGCGGCCGCACAGAGCCCCATGGGAGCAGGGGGAGCCAGGCGGCCGGCACAGCTCTCACATTGAGCGGCCGCACAGAGCCCCATGGGAGCAGGGGGAGCCAGGCGGCCGGCACAGCTCACACATTGAGCGGCCGCACAGAGCCCCATGGGAGCAGGGGGAGCCAGGCGGTCGGCACAGCTTGCACATTGAGCGGCCGCACAGAGCCCCATGGCTCCCCCTGCTCTGTCTGTCTGTGTGAGTGTGTGACTGCCTGTGTCTGTCTGTCTGTGTGTGTGACTGCCTGTGTCTGTCTGTGAGTGTGTGACTGTCTGTGTCTGTCTGTCTGTGTGAGTGTGTGACTGCCTGTGTGAGTGTGTGACTGTCTCTGTGTGACTGTCTGTGTGAGTGTGTGACTGCCTGTCTGTCTGTCTGTGTGAGTGTGTGACTGCCTGTGTCTGTCTGTGTGAGTGTGTGACTGTCTGTGTCTGTCTGTGAGTGTGTGACTGCCTGTGTGAGTGTGTGACTGTCTCTGTGTGAGTGTGTGACTGTCTGTGTGTGAGTGTGTGACTGTCTCTGTGTGAGTGTGTGACTGTCTCTGTGTAGAGTGTGTGACTGTCTCTGTGTGAGTGTGTGACTGTCTGTGTGAGTGTGTGACTGTCTCTGTGTGAGTGTGTGACTGTCTGTGTGTGTGTCCTGTCTGTGTGGTGTGTGACTGCCTGTGTGGGGACTGTCTCTGTGTGAGGTGTGTCTGTCTGTGTGTGTGTCTCTGTCTGTGTGTGTGTCTGTCTGTGTGTCTGTCTGTGTGAGGTGTGTGACTGCCTGTGTGGGCCGTGTGACTGTCTCTGTGTGGTGTGTGACTGCCTGTGTGAGGTGTGTGACTGTCTCTGTGTGAGTGTGTGACTGCCTGTGTGAGTGTGTGACTGTCTCTGTGTGAGTGTGTGACTGCCTGTGAGCGTGTGACTGTCAGTGTGAGTGTGTGACCGCCTGTGTGAGTGTATGACTGCCTGTGTGAGTGTGTGACTGTCTCTGTGTGAGTGTGTGACTGTCTGTGTGTGTGTCTGTCTGTCAGTGTGAGTGTGTGACTGCCTGTGTGAGTGTGTGACTGTCTCTGTGTGAGTGTGTGACTGTCTCTGTGTGTGTGTCTGTTTGTCTGTGTGAGTGTGTGACTGCCTGTGTGTGTGTGACTGTCTCTGTGTGAGTGTGTGACTGCCTGTGAGCGTGTGACTGTCTGTGTGAGTGTGTGAGTGCCTGTGAGAGTGTGTGACGGTCTGTGTGTGTGTGACTGTCTCTGTGTGAGTGTGTGACTGCCTGTGAGAGTGTGACTTTCTGTGTGAGTGTGTGACTGTGTGTGTGTGACTGTCTCTGTGTGAGTGTGTGGTCTATCCCCGATGTAGGCAGGATTTCTTGTGGATGCCTTTCAGCTCTTGAGAAAGGCGTTTTTTTTCCCGCCGAAACGCGTGTTGGGCTGCCGATGCACAGACTTTGCTTTTAGTTCCACTTTGATATGTTACCATGATATCCGATAGACTTATCTGCAACATCTACAGCTTAGGGGGGCTGCCTCGAAGCAGCCGTTGGTGGCTTATTTAGCACAGTGGAAAATTGGATACTAATCTTCTCACTTCATATCAGTTGCATGCTCTCCCCTTCAGCTTATACTTTCAATACTGGTTACATAGGGGGAACTGCCTTTAAGCAGTAGGGGGTGGTTTGGATAGTTTTAGGATACTTTTTCACTTATCCTTTATATGTCTAAACCTTCTTCCCTCTGTGTACTCTACATGGGCTATATATATCTATATGTGATATATATATAATTTCCAGAAAGCTCCCTCCTTCTACTATCCTGTTTGTATGTCTGTTGGCAATCCACAACCACTATGGAATAATACCTTTTGTCTTATATGTCTAACATAGGTATATCAGTTTTATATTTCCACTCATAGGACTTTTCAGACAGCAGTTTTGCTCCTTTGTGTTCAATTGGCTTAACAATTATAGCTAATTGTTACACATGGTGATTGCCAGTAGTACATCATATTATTATTTTATAATTTATATAGCGCCATCAGATTCTGTACAATGGGTGAACAGAGGGGTGGAGGGCCCTGCTCACGGAGCTTACATTCTCTTGTGGTTTTTAAATTATCACTCAATACACACATTGGTTATACTGTAACCGTGTTAGCGTGCAGAAGCCGAACACAGAGAGATGGGCACAGGTATTCAGGAAGTAAGAGGCCTTTATTCACATTACCGATCGGGTCTCAGATGAACTCCTGTTCCAAAATTCTGAGCACTGAATACATAGAGTACATTCCTTATATAGCACTGTAGCTCCTCCCATAATTAGCTACGCCCACACATACCCTTAACCTAATCAATGAATAGAGTCTAAACTCGTCCATCCGGTCAAACCACGTGGCTCATCTGAAACTAAGGAGAGGGACGCGTAATTCCAGTTCCTGCATTCCTGCACATGCTCAGTACAGTGATGACAGTATCTTAGCTACATGTAACTAACTAACTGATACTACAAACACCGGTACCTACATATGCCTTGTGGCAATCTTGGCCTACTAAACTTGTATTTTACTGGAATTCCATCACAATACCTTACACCTATGTTGTATGTGCCTTTTTCATTAAAGTTGATTCCCCTATATTGAATTTAAATTAGAGGTAATTCCTGTGGGGCTGATTTTTCTTCCTAATCTTAGGAGTTAACCATCTTCATTAGTCTTCATTAATCTTCCCGATTCATATTTATAACTTGACAAACTCCTATCTCTGCAGCTGGGGGGACATGCCGGGTGGTCTCTGCGCACCGGTGCTGTAATCAGAATCGGATTGAGGAACGCTCTCAGACTATCCAGTGCTCCTGTCTCCCAGGAAAAGTGGCAGGAACCACAAGAGACAAACCTTCATGCGTAGATGGTGAGTTTGTATACCCTGCGAGAATGGTTTTACTAGGGGGGATTATATGTACACACAGTGGTGTATCCTGGTTTTGTGCTGCCCTAGGCAGGACAAAACTCAAGCACCCCCTCCCCCCCACCTTCTAAATACACACACACACAAACAGTCAGACACAAACACGCGCACACACACACACAAACAGTCAGACACAAACACACACAATCACTCACATTAATACTTTTTTTTTTTATTTAACCCCCCCCTCCTTACCTTTGGGAGTGCTGGGGGGGTTTCCTCTTTCTCCCTGGTGGTCCAGTGGCTGCCGGTCAGGCTGATGGGCTGGCTACTGGGCGGGCAGCTGGCGAGGGAGCACTTCCCCTGAGCGGACTGCTCAGCTCACTCGCGCGCTGCAGAGTGAGGCTGGGAGCCAGAATATGATGTCATCAACCCGGCTCCCAGCCTCACTCTGCGGCGCGCAAGGGAGCTGAGCAGTCAGCTCAGGGGAAGTACTCCCTTGCCAGCCCAGCATGTCCGTTAGCAGCGAGGCAAACAAGGCATTTGCCCTGGGCATTTGGGGGTGGCGTTTTTTGCCGCCCCCCTGAAAAATGCCGCCCAAGGCAAATGCCTTGTTTGCCTCGCGGCTAATACGTCCCTGTGTACACAGCAGCTTTGGCAGTGTCTTACAAAGCATCGCTGTACTGAGCTCAGACCCCACTGGGTGGAATTTGGAACAGGACTCCTCAGAGATTGCCTCATGGTGGCTCTCACCCTGGAGAATCCCATTTCGTTACAGTAACCTCTGTTTCCCATTGGCAGCTTCCATTGTGATGGGGAAATGGTGGTGTGACATGGAGCCTTGTCTGGAAGAGGAGGAGTGCCAGACACTTCCAGATAATTCTGGATGGATCTGCTATGTGGGGGGCCGCATAAAGACCACTAAGGTTAGTGCTTACTTATTGTACAGAATAATTGCTCAACGAGAACATTCCCTTGATTTGAGTTTTATCCTTAAACCCACAGCAGGTCCCCCTAACCCAACATGTCTTTATCTGCAGATTCACTCAGGGTTCTGACATCCTCCGGATAATTGTTTTCCTGTCCTGTGTTTGGAGACAGAGCGATCCTCAAAGCACCAAATGCCTACGTTACAAGGCCGATACCTCCAGCAGAGAGCGGTCTTAGACAGGAGGAAGTTAAGGGAAAATCTGCAGGAAGGATCTGTTCCTACGGATAAGCGGCAGGCCAGCTCTTTAATGTCCTCATGGAAGTGACAGAAAAAGGGAAATAAAATACAATGAACTATACTCACTGTGTCCATTACTGTGACATTATCTTCAGTCCTATCCTTTGTCTAATGGGCCTCTCACAAAGCTGATCACATAAACCCATTGACACAGACATACAGAGAGAGCAGCATTACAATATAACTTTATTCAGCCAATATAGAGAGACAGAGGAACAGACAGGTGGGTTTCTATATACAATGGGCTCCTGTAGCCCGTAGACAGTTGTGGGAAGTTCTTCACGTTGTCACTGTGGTACGTAGCTTGGATCCTCTCCAAAAGGGCTTGCTGTATGAAAAATGAAAATAAAAATTAAGAACCAATATAGCCCTGTAACACAAACCGCAGCTTTCCACAGTCCGTCTGTCAATGTCACAGCACCCACCCATGGATTATGCACGGGGAATATTGAGAGCGTTTGGCAGGGCAGACATTGCTTGTGTATTAATAAAATTTCAGGCCTGGATAATACGTCAGAAAGTAGGTATGCTGATAATCCATGCTGGGGGAGGGGGGAATCTTGCAGGGACAGGATAGTGGGAGTTGCAGTAAAGCTACTGTCTGCTGTTGTAAAGATATTGTGTGCATTATAAACGACACGAAGATCAGCATCACAAAACAATCTCAATTCACTTATCCTGCAAATTTGAGGCAGGACAGCTACACCAGCTTGGGGGAGGAGAAGTACAGAGTGAATACCCCGGATAGGGGAGTTGGCAGAGCAGGGTGAGAAGTACAGAGTGAATACCCCGGATAGGGGAGTTGGCAGAGCAGGGTGAGAAGTACAGTGTAAATACCCCGGATAGGGGAGTTGGCAGAGTAGGGTGAGAAGTACAGAGTAAATACCCCGGATAAGGGAGTTGGCAGAGCGTGGTGAGAAGTACAGAGTAAATACCCTGGATAGGGGAGTGGGCAGTGCGGGATGAGAAGTACAGAGTGAATACCCCGGATAGTGGAGTGGGCAGAGAGGGGTGAGAAGTACAGTGTAAAAACCCTGGATAAGGGAGTTGGCAGAGCGGGGTGAGAAGTACAGTGTAAATACCCCGGATAGGGGAGTGGGCAGAGCGGGGTGAGAAGTACAGAGTGAATACCCCGGATAGGGGAGTGGGCAGAGCGGGGTGAAAAGTACAGTGTAAATACCCCGGATAGGGGAGTGGGCAGAGCGGGGTGAGAAGTACAGAGTGAATACCCCGGATAGGGGACTGGGCAGAGCGGGGTGAGAAGTACAGAGTGAATACCCCAGATAGGGGAGTGGGCAGAGCGGGGTGAGAAGTACAGTGTAAATACCCCGGATAGGGGAGTGGGCAGAGCGGGGTAAGAAGTTGTGACGAGACCAATCTCGCCATATTGCATTGGAGAAGCCTGGCTGCCCGCCTGCTGCCTTTGGACTATGGACCAGACTTTATGTGAATGTGTTAACCCAGATAGCTATGCCATGGAGCCCATTCGTGTAGTTAAAGACTTCGGCTCCATGGCAATTGAACTGTATGAATAGGATCTGAGCGCCATTCGGTAGTTTTGTGCGCTCAGATCCCAGCTATCTGGGGATATGTGAAATGTCTGTGTGTTATGTGTAAAAGGTGACTTTATGTATTTTAAAGTGTTTTGTCTTTTTGCAACCATGTGCTCAATGGAGTCTGCCTCTATCCCTGGATAATTGGATTACTTTCCCCATTGTCTCAGGATAGAGGGCTCTGTAAAACCTGTTTGAGCCAGATATCCATGTGCCAGCCAGGGCCCAAAATATACTTTTACTAACTTTTGAACCACTGGTCTGATTCATGCCATTTTTTAATATGTTGTTCCCCTGAATGGATTGATTGTGAATATGTAATTTTATGTGAATGTGATGTATGGTTTTAGAGTTATGAAAGTTGGGTAGAAAGTATGTTTTAACTGTATGTGTAATTGAGTTTCCTCTCAGGATAAGGGGAGGGAATATGTGGGATGTAACTGATATGTGATTGGTTGTTTTATACCTCCCTGTGGGCGGTCCTGTATTTGAAAAGACTGTAATAAAAACCAGGCTGGGTGTGCCAGCACCTCAGACCACTGCTTGACCCTCAACACGGAGCCTTGTCTCGTTCTTGGGGGGAGTCACTGTATGCTGTTAGAGACTGATTGCCAGGAGTGTAAGATGATTGCCTGCTTTTCCTGTTCGTCTGCTAGCAGCTATTTGGGAGGTTCCAGTTCGGGAGTTGGAGTGCTATTTTGTATCCAGTTCAGGAGTTTGGTGTTCTGCAGTAGCTGTGCCTGTATCTCTGGAAAGGGGGCCGATCGCCTAAACGGTTTTTACCCCTTGTGTGCAAAACGGTCCGTTACAGAAGTACAGTGTGAATACCCTGGATAGGGGAGTTGGCAGAGCGAGGTGAAAAGTACAGAGTGAATTCCCCGGATAGGGGAGTTGCCAGAGAGGGGTGAGTCGTACAGTGTAAAAACCCTGAATAGGGGAGTTGCCAGAGACGGGTGAGTCGTACAGTGTAAAAACCCTGAATAGGGGAGTTGGCAGAGCGGGGTGAGAAGTACAGTGTAAATACCCTGGATAGGGGAGAGGGCAGAGCGGGGTGAGAAGTACAGTGTGAATACCCCGGATAGGGGAGTGGCAGAGAGGGATTAGAAGTACAGTGTGAATACCCTGGATAGGGAAATTGGCAGAGAGGGGTGAGAAGTACAGAGTGAATACCCCACATAGGGGGGTTGGCAGAGAGGGGTGAGAAGTAAAGAGTGAATACCCCGGATACGGGAGTTGGCAGAGCGGGGTGAGGGCAGTTCTGCCAGATGGCTGGGATAGGAGAGTTGGCACCAGATTGGGGGTGGGGGCAGTTCTGTCAGACGGCTGGGATAGAGCAGTAGTTTACTCACGGTTTTGAAACTGCTGTGCTGTGTAACGGGTGAGCAGAATTCCAACTCCTTCAATGAGAGCCAATAGAACACCACCCATTAGCGCAGAACCTGCCATGGCAAGGGGACCACCTGAAATACAAGATATGGGTGGTCTTAATGAAGGTTTAATAACGGTGCAGATCCGAGGATGCTCTCTCTAAGGTACATTCTAACTCCATTAATTCCCCCTTTTACATAGTGATTTATCCACAAAACAATGCGTTACTGACGACCAAATAGTTAGGGGGGAGGGAAGAGGGGACAATCAGTGTTTTAGCATCACTATTTTACTATGTTAGCTTAAAAGGATACTATAGGCATGAAAACAACTTTGGCTTAATGAAGTGGCTTTGTATAAACAAAGTGATTGAACTCCTCAAAGGCAGAGAGAGCAGTGATACTGCAGGGACCTGATCTATATACCTGTGGGGCTAAAATAATGCACTACTGGCGTTATTCTGTCGTTTCCATCCAAAATAAAGACTAAAAAAAGAAGTTATTACTTACGTTAATCCAACGATCCCCCACCCATCTCAAAATCACCGGAGTCGCGCCGAGGTGCAACCAAATGTTTCAATGGCTCAGCGCACATTCATGCACTCTGAGCCAGTGAAGGGAGGGGAACACAAAAATATACCAAATATGATAAGGAGACAGGGAGGGCTGCATTTAGTGTGAGAGGGCAGACTGCAAGGTGGAACGTTTGTTGACAGCCTGCTATGCACGCTGACAAAAGACATTAAAAAAAAAAAGCACAATTGACATTAGGCAGCCCAAATATTACAGATTAAGGAACAGCGCACACATACAAATATAATTTTAAAAGAAAATTTGTAAGGAGAAAGGTGCTGATCCGAGAGTCCCAGGGTAATGGGGGGCTAGTGGATCGGTACCAAAGGATGCCCTATGTTACTCTCCCCTGAAATTGGGGAATAACCTAGGATAAGCTGTATAAGCGAGAGTGGGAGAGTTAACATTGAAAGAGGGGAAGGGGAGCCCTACCTTTAATAGTCCTAATGGGAAACAGGAATATAAAACAGGACTGAGAGAGGGAGACAGAAAAAGGTATATATATATATATATATATATATATATATAGTGTATGTATATCCACACACACACAAATACCTATCAATGTCCAGCTAGGTAATACAACATCAGCTTATCCACTAGTCCGGTCTAAGCCTAAACTGTGCGCTGTCCCAGCAATCTGACAGAAAAATCAGTAATAACCAGAGGTTAAGTATGGAATCTTAGACTAAAGAGGAAGGAGTTAATTAGCCCCCCCAAAAAAATTCCATTGCAGCCCCCCAAACCAAGAACTTCTTAGAGTAGGTCTGTCCCTACTACCTCGGCATATAATTTTAATTTCTACATGGCCATATAAAATAGCCTGTCTCAAACAAATAAACATAGGGGTTCAGTTCCACCATATGGCCAGATTGTGTTAAGCCCACCACTACCCCTCATATTTGTATGTGTGCGGTTCCTTTATCTGTATTATGTATACATTTTGGTCTCCACTGCAGCACAATTCCTGAGAAAAGCATGTACCAGACGTGCCCCTAATTCCGCTATTTCTTGGAACAGAGTTCCAGGCTGTCACATGTGCTGGGGTGCAACACAATTGCCAATATGTCTGTATGTTCAACTGAAACACTGAACATCTGGGCTCCTACCACCATGACCACTTCAAAACGCTGACATGGCTATGGTGTTTGGAGTAACCCTTTAAGTATTCAAGTCTGTTGTGCGGTCACAAACACATCTTGCAGAGTAATGTGAATGATGAAGGGTCACGCCTGCCGTCTTCTGTTATAAATGGGGTGATCCAACATTTAGAATTGAATCAGTCACTCCCTCCATTAATGAGAGGAGATTCTTACTGCGAGAAGCCAGCACGGCGCCAGTCAATGCTCCGCTAGTGATAGAATTCCATGGATCCTCCTTCCCTCGTATTCGCACTAAACCGCAGTCAATTGTCGAGAATAAACCGCCCCAAACTGCAAAGCTACCTGTGGGAAACAGAAGGTTAATAGATTGCTTGAAGCGGGAGAACCAGCAAATGATGAGAATCCTAAAAACTCACCCCCAATCTGCGGAGCACGGATCCTCACTGCATTCATACTTCCTCTGAGACGGTAATTGATTCCCTAAATGGCAAAACATGCAATGTAAAATCCAGTACATACAACCTCTGCCCCCATGTGGGTAAACCAACAGAACCAGAGCTGTAACCACGGTACACGTAACACTCCATCCAACCCAACAGAAACCAGAGTTATAAACACGTTAAACGTATCACTCCATCCAAACAAATAATAGTGAGGGCTGTAAACATGGTACACACAGCAGTCTATCTAATTGGGGACATTATACCTATCCTTCCCCGATATGGTAAAATATTTTATAAATAAATATCTGCATACATCACTCATACGTACAGGATTCTGTGCATGTACAGACCACAGTCAGTAAAAAAAGGGGACAAAACTTTTTTTTGATACATAAATGGGAAAAGGAAAGTAAAACCAGGATTAGTTAGATTAAAAACAAAAGAAGGAAGGTAGATAAAGGAAGAGGATAAAGGTCTAGCTGACTGCCTCAATTAATATTTTTGTTCAGTATTTACAGATTAAAATGAAGGAAAGGGACCTCAGTTAGGAAAAAGAACAAATGAGTCATTTATTACATGTGAGTTTACAGAGGAAGAGGTTCTATTTCAACTGTCAAACGTAAAGACAAATAAGTCAATGGGGCCTGATGGAATACACCCAAAGTTATTAAAAGAGCTTAGTGGTGTACTAGCAAAACCATTAACAGATTTATTTAACCAATCATTGTTAACAGGAGTAGTCCCAGAAGATTGGAAGTTAGCGAATGTTGTGCCCATTCACAAGAAAGGTAGTAAGGAGGAGTCGGGCAACTATAGGCCAGTAAGCCTTACTTCAGTAGTGGGGAAAGTAATGGAAACCATGTTAAAGGATAGGATTGTTGAACATCTAAAAACACATGGATTTCAAGATCAGAGACAACATGGGTTTACATAAAGGTAGGCAGACAATGTAATAGAGCAGCAGGAAATGCTAGCAGAATGTTTGGTTGTATAGGGAGAGGTATTAGAAAGACGGAAGTACTCATGCCATTGTACAGAACACTGGTGAGACCTCACTTGGAGTATTGTACACAGTACTGGAGACCGTATCTTCAGAAGGATATTGATACCTTAGAGAGAGTTCAGAGAAGGGCTACTAAACTGGTTCATGGATTGCAGGATAAAACTTACCAGAAAAGGTTAAAGGATATTAACATGTATAGCTTGGAGGAAAGACGAGACAGGGGGGATATGATAGAAACATTTAAATATACAAAGGGAATCAACACAGTAAAGGAGGAGACTATATTTAAAAGACGAAAAACTACCACAACAAGAGGACATAGCCTTAAATTAGAGGGACAAAGGTTTAAAAATAATATCAGGAAGTATTACTTTCCTGAGAGGGTAGTGGATGCATGGAATAGCCTTCCAGCTGAAGTGGTAGAGGTTAACACAGTAAAGGAGTTTAAGCATGCGTGGGATAGGCATAAGGCTATCCTAACTATAAGATAGCCAGGGACTAATGAAAGTATTTAGAAAATTGTGCAGACTAGATGGGCCAAATGGTTCTTATCTGCTGTCACATTTTATGTTTCTATGTTGTGCTAAACTTGCAGCTGTAAAAACTCAAATATGTATCCACCTATCAAAACATACAAAACACTCACCACGGGGGCATTCCTGAATCCTTTAATTGCTTGAAAGACACCCCCTCCAATGAGCCCCATTGTGAAAGCCCCACCACAGTCATCGACAATCCTCCACGGGCTGCAAGAAAATCAACGTTATAGTTACAATATGGATGGCATCCACATCAGCGGGGAGAACAGCAGGAAGCTGGCACAAGCACTAGGGGAAGAATGGCAGGAGGTTGGCACCGGGGGGAGGAATGGCAGGAGGTTGGCACCGGGGGGAGGAATGGCAGGAGGTTGGCACCGGGAAGAAGAATGGCAGGAAGATGGCTCCGGGTGAAGAATGGCAGGATGACGACACTGGGGGGAGAATGGCAGGAGGATGGCACCAGTGGAAGAATTAGGTTATATCTCAGTATATTAGGTTATATCTCGGTATTATATTAATTTATCTCGGTATATTAGATTAGATCTCGGTATACTATTATTATATCTCGGTGTATTAGATTTTTACTCGGTATACTATTATTATTATTATTATTATTATTATATCTCGGTGTATTAGGATATATCTCGTATACTATTATATGTCGTATACTATTATTATATCTCGGTATACTATTATTATTATTATATCTCGGTGTATTAGATTATATCTCGGTATACTATTATTTTTATATCTCGGTGGATTAGATTTTCTCTCGGTATACTATTATTATTATTATTATATCTCGGTGTATTAGGATATATCTCGGTATACTATTATATGTCAGTATACTATTATTATTATTATTATTATATCTCGGTGTATTAGATTATATCTCGGTATACTATTATTATATCTTGGTATACTATTTTTATTATATCTCGGTATATTAGATTATATCTCAGTATACTATTATTATATCTCGGTGTATTAGATTATATCTCGGTATACTATTATTATATCTTTGTGTATTAGATTATATCTCGGTAAACTATTATTCTTATATCTCGTATACTATTATTATTATTATACCTCAGTGTATTAGATTATATCTCGGTATATTAGGTTATAATGCGGTATTCTATTATAAATTATATCTCGGTATACTATTATTATTATTATTATTATATCTCGGTATACTATTATCTCGGTGCATTAGCTAATATCTCAGTATACTATTATTATATCTCGGTATACTATTATTAAATTTCAATGTATTAGATTATATCTCGGTATACTATTATTAAATCTTGGTATACTATTATATCTCGGTATATTAGGTTATAACGCGGTATACTAATATTATTATTATTATTATTATATCTCTGTATATAAGGTTATTATTATTATATCTTGGTATATATAATGTTGTATTATATTACTGATATATCAGACCGGCTCCAGTTATGTCCTTGGAGCTCTGTATATTATTATTTATAACAACAAGATTATAATATTATATTACTGATATATCAGACCGGTTCCAGCGATATCCTTTGAGCTCTGTATATTATTATATTATATTACTGATATATCAGACCGGCTCCTGTGATGTCCTTGCATCTCTATATATTATTACAGAAACATAGAATGTGACGGCAGATAAGAACCATTCGGCCCATCTAGTCTGCCCAATTTTCTAAATACTTTCATTAGTCCCTGGCCTTATCTTATAGTTAGGATAGCCTTATGCCTATCCCACGCATGCTTAAACTCCTTTACTGTGTTAACCTCTACCACTTCAGCTGGAAGGCTATTCCATGCATCCACTACCCTCTCAGTAAAGTAATACTTCCTGATATTATTTTTAAACCTTTGTCCCTCTAATTTAAGACTATGTCCTCTTGTTGTGGTAGTTTTTCTTCTTTTTAAATATAGTCTCCTCCTTTACTGTGTTGATTCCCTTTATATATTTAAATGTTTCTATCATATCCCCCCTGTCTCGTCTTTCCTCCAAGCTATACATGTTAAGATCCTTTAACCTTTCCTGGTAAGTTTTATCCCGCAATCCATGAACCAGTTTAGTAGCCCTTCTCTGAACCCTCTCTAAGGTATCAATATCCTTCTGAAGATACGGTCTCCAGTACTGTGTACAATACTCCAAGTGAGGTCTCA